CACGGGGGGGGGAGAGAGATGTTTTATCTTGGCCCCCATCGGCCCCTAATAAGGGAGGGTTATTTTTAGTGGAGGTGAAAGCCAGAGCCACCAGCTCAAGAGCTTTTTCCACTCACATCTGCATTTGTACAATTTGGGTTTCCTGTCGTGGTTTCGGCGCTTTTCAAACCTGCCCGAATTGTTATTTTCTTCTCGGTGAAGAACCCCACAGATCCCTCCCTCTCCCCTTCCCTCCCTCCCTCCTTCTCTTCCCCCATATAAATATCCCTCCAGAATCCCTCCCTGACCTCCCCACTCATCCAGCCCCACCACCCCCATTTCTCAGAGTGGGATCTGAGCATCCTCACAGGGTTGGGATGCTGGTGGAAGTTCATGCTGGACCACATCATTCCAACCCTGGATTTGTGTCTTTCCAGCCCTGGATTGCAGCTTTCCTGCACCAGTGTGGGATGAGAAGCCACTAAGTGGGGAAACTGAGGCAGAGATGGAGTCAGTGCTGGATTTTGGGGGATGAGACCCACAGCTTGGTCACCCCCAGGGGTCCTTGGATTGAGTGGCCACACTGGGTTTAAGTAGGAGATGATGTGTCAGGCAGCAAAGTGGGAGATAAAGGGGAGGTTGTGCCTCTTTCAGCTGGGAACACATCCCATGAGGATGGGCTGAGCCCTGCCCAACTCATCCCAGCTGTGCTGGGGGATGGGGTAGCTCAGGCTCGGCACAGGCCCTGGGAGGGGACAGCTGTGTGTCCCCCCCAACTTCCTCTGACACACAGTTTCCATCCACCCAGAGCAGGTGCCAGGTGAGGGGCAGTGGGGGGGTAAGGAGGGGCTCCCCCATCTCCTCTCCTCAAGCCACATCCCTGCAGGAAGGGGGGACACAAGTGTTGTCCCACCAATACATCCCATGCTCCTCCAAACCCACTGGAGCAATGGCCACACAATCCAAGGACCACTGGGGGTGGCCAAGCTGGGGGTCTCCATCCCCAAACCCCACCACTATGAATGTTCCTGCCTCAGTTTCCCACTCAGGGTCTGAATTCAGCTTCTCCCTCCTTGATGGCACAATGCAGGGCCGGAATGATGTGGTCAAGCCCAAACTTCCACCAGCTTCTCTATCCTTTGGCTATTCCTTGTCCCATCCCCTGACTCCAGTAGATGGGGAGGGGGATCCAGGATGTCCCAGAGGAACAGCTCACAAATCCTTACATTTGTGAGTTTACATCCCAGCCATCCCCCCATGAAACCCCACCACAGGGGTGCCCAGGACTTCTCCAGGACCATTCCATGGGATGAGCAGGATGCTGGGGGCTGAAGGTCAGGGTTCCTTGGGCCCTGGCCCTGTCCCCAGCTCCCTGTGCAGAGCTGGGTGCAACAGCAGCTGCACCTCAGGTGCAGGAAGCCAACCTGCACTCGCTTTCTCTCTGCTGTTAGTTAAGTTTTTCACTCTCTATTGACCCCAGGGAGCTTCACTTTCTACAGACACACCCCTGTGTGCATCACCCGCCGTGGGGCAGGGGATAAGCCTCACACCAGGCTCAGTTCATGCCCATGGGACACGATGGCACTTTCTGTGCTCCCATCCCTGGAACTGGGGGGACACCCAGCAGGGATGTGGGGGCAGGAGGTCACAGCACGTGGCACCTGTGGCACGTGAGCTCCGTGTCCCTATGCACGGATTTAGGTGCATGTAGGTGAGCTGTATGTCCCTGTGCATGCATGTGTGTGTGTGTACGTGAGCTGTATGTCCCTGTGCACCCACACACGTTCCCTCTGTCCCCGTGTGCCACCCACACCTGTACAGGTCTCGTGTGCTGCGTTTGGCGTGCGCACACATGTACCGTACATACCGCGTGTACCGTAAGTACCGTGTAGGCGCGCACTACCTGGGCCGCCGCTGCCCAGCACTGCCCCCTGGCGGGAGAGAGCGGAACTGCGGCCAAGCACTGCCCCCTGGCGGACAGGAGTGGGACTGCGGCATTCGCCCCACGGCGCCCACGGACCACAAACTCCACAGCACCCACGGACCCATGGACTACAAACCCCACAGCATCCGTGGATACGGCACCCACGGAACACAAACCCCACAGAATCCATGGACACGGCACCCACGGACCCATGGACCACAAACTCCACACCACCCACGGACCCATGGACCACAAACCTCACAGCATCCATGGACACGGCACCCATGGACAACAAACTCTGCAGCATCCATGGACACAGCACCCACGGAACACAAACTCCACAGCACCCACGGACACGGCACCCACGGACCCATGGACGACAAACTCCACAGCATCCATGGACACAGTGCCCACGGAACACAAACTCCACAGCATCCATGGACATGGCACCCATGGACAACAAACTCTGCAGCATCCATGGACATAGCACCCACGGGCTGCACCTCGCATGGACATGGCACTCACGGAGCCATGGACCACAAACTCCACAGCATCCATGGGCATGGCACCCATGGACTGCACCTCCCATGGATATGGCATCCACGGACTACACATCCCATGATCATAGCACCCACAGACACAGCACTCATGGGCCACAAAGTCCACAGCATCCATGGACACGACACTCACAGACTACACATCCCATGGATATGGCACCCACGAACTGCATGGATCCACAGCCGTGGCACCCATGGACACTCACCAGTGCAGACCCACGCCCATGGCACCCACTGGGCACAGCACCCACAGACTGCAAACTCCATGGACACAAACCCATGGACATGGCACCCACGGACTACACATCCCATGGACACATCACCCATGGACTGCACAGACCCATGGATTCAGACCCATGGACTGCAGAGTGCCATGGACACGGCACCCATGGACACAGCACCCATGGGCTGCACACCCCACAGACCTCACAGCCCACAGACACAGCACCCATGGCCCCGTGGACATAAACCCCCTGGACCACACACTCCCCAGAAATGGCACCCATGGACATAGCCCCAATGGACACAGCCCCCACGGACCCACCAGACCCCCAGACATGATCCCTCCCCACCCCAGTGAGCCCCCAGAGCCCCCCAGCTGCACCCACAGGACAGCCAGGACAGGGTGGGGGTCACAAGGCTTTAATCACGGGGGCAGTGGGTGCTGTGGGGTGATGGTGTCACATGGGACTGGTCACTGCACCCATCCTGCCCTGAGCACCAGGGACGTGGGGACAGTGCAGGGGGCACGAGGTGGTCCCTCAGCGGGCGATGGGGCAGGTGACCCCAGTGCCCTTCATGCCACAGGAGGCCTTGGGCACCTTGTGCAGGTACTGCTGGTGGTAGTCCTCGGCGTAGTAGAAGTCCCCAGCTGGCTCGATGACCGTGGTGATGTCCCCACGCTGCTGTGTCCCCAGTTCCTAGGACAGTCCTGTGGTGGGGGGAGCCTGGAGGGAACCCCCACCCCACCGCCCCCAGGCCGGCACGCCCCAGGCATGGCACAGCCAGGGCAGAGGCTTGTCCCATGCTCTGGGGCTGGGGGAAGTGGCTGGTGTCCCAAGGAGGGTCACAGTGTCCCCAGAAGGGTTTCTGGTGTCCCCAGAGGGTCCTAATGTCCTGTGGGGAGGGCCTCAGTGTCCCCAGGGTGGGTCCTGGTGCTCCCAAGGGATTACAGTGTCCATAGGGGCAGTTCTGGTGTCCCCAAGGAGGGTCACAGTGTCCTTGGGGGGATCCCAGTGGGCATAGGGGGCCACAGGATCCCCAGGTGTATCCCAGTGTCCCCAGAGGAGTTCCAATGTGACCAGAGGGGATACCAGTGTCCCCAAAGGGGTGTCCCAGTGTCCCAGGAGTGTGTCTCAGTGTCCCCACAGGGCTCCCAGTGCCTCCAAGAGGAGTCTCAGTGTCCCCAGGGTAGGTCCTGGTGTCACCAGGGGCTTCCCAGTGCCCCATATGTGTGAGTTCCAGTGTCATTAGGGGGAACACAGTGTACTCAGGAGGGATCCCAGTGTCATCAGAAAGGGTCCCAGTACCCCCAAAGGGTTCCCAGTGTCCCCAGAGGTGTCCCAGTGTCCCCAGGTACCTGCTGGTACACCTCTCTGCTGTGGAGAGCAGCTCCCTGCTGCTGGGGGCCCAGTGTGTAGATGACAGAGCGGTACTGGGTGCCAATGTCCTCCTGCTGCCTCATGCCTAGGGGGGTAGCACCCCGGGGGTGGTTATGGGGCACCCCCAGACCCCACCAGCCACTGCCTTCCCCCATGAGTGTGGAAACTGAGGCATGGAGGACAAGGCTGAGGGGTCCTGCTAAAGGGGTTGGTGTGGGAAGTCACTGTGAGACCACCCAGAACTCAACACCACAGGGAGCAGATACCAAGGACCTTCTGCTGGAGCCTGTTTGGGGTTAAACCCCCCAAACCAGGTCTGCTCCCACACCCAGCACCAGGGGAGGGAGAAGCCAAGGACCCATGCAGGGTTAACCCCCCCCCAGTCCCTCCCACTGCTTGTCCCTACCTTGTGTGGGGTCATGGTTCTCCCAGAAGATTTTGAGAAGCTCTTCATAGCTGATTTTCTGGGGGTCAAAGACCACCCTCACCACCTCGGCATGTCCAGTCAGCCCTGCAGCCAGAGCCAGCCCTGCTGCAGCCCCTCACCGTGGTCTCCTCCTCCCCTCCAGGACCCCCTGGACCCTTTTCCCAGGTGCCTAATGGGGGTGGGATACCCCAGTCCCCCCTGCACTGGGATAAATCCCTGGCTGGACACAGCAGTCAGGATAATATTCCCTGCAGACAGCTAATCCTCTGCAAAATGTCTGTCCAGCTAAGCTGGGATTTTCTGTCCAGGTTTGGGGGGCTGGGGGGGGAGACAGAGGGGTTAGCATCCAACATGCATCAGACAGCATCCCGTGGGATCCCAGCCAGGGCAAGGCAGGGGCTTTGGGACAGCCTGTGATGCTGGATGGGGATGTCACCCCACTTTGGAAACACTGGGGGTGTCCCCATGGCAGCAGGGAGGGCAACCTCCTTACCTGTGCACACCTCTTTGTAGGTGGGGTTGGGGGTGAAGCCTCCTGCAAAGCCAACCTGGGTGGAGAAGACTCCTGGTGTCTTCCAGAAGAGCTGCTCAGCCCCCCAGAAGCATCCCATGCCTGTGGGGGAACAGGCAGGGAGTGTGCAGCTGGGCTGGGAGGGG